CATCATTTTCTTGCAGTAAAAGTATGACTCCAAATAAAAAAAAAAAGCACTATATATAATATTGTGTGCAGTTAATTATTTTATTAGTATTATAACAACTAAACAAGAAGTAAGAATGATGTTCTATGTAATAAAAAGGTAAGACTAATACTAAACAAGAGGTAAGAATATTGTTCTACATGATGAAAAGGTAAAACTACACAATGAGAAAGATTATAGCTCACATTCCATCCAAAAGAAATAATAAAAAATAAAATTAGTAAATGTCCCATATCAATTGAAGCTAGCGAATGATAAATGTAAAACATACTTGAGATGCACATTTGTAAAAACTATATTTATCTTTTTGTGTTAGAAATATGTATGTTAGTCATCATCTTTTTAGTTAACAATTTAATTAATTTTTACCATTAAAATTTTCAATTTTGAAATACTAAATATTTTTTTTGTTTCACTTTTATATTTAATATATCACATCATTTTTTTCTCATGATGTTTGATTTGACCAATGTATTGTAAATAAAATATATATATACATAGACCAATTTAAAATAATATATACTAATTTATAGATCCATGTTAACTCAATTTTATTAATTATAAAATAATATTGGATAAACTTGTGGTATATTTTTCTTACATGGATTTGAAATATTCAATAATAAGAAAAAAGTGTAATTGGATGTAAACGTACATCTATTACCAATATTAACTATATGAATTAAAAGAAAAAATAAATGAGTTGTATGTTAAACTATTATGCAATTATTGCTTGAAAGAGAACACCATAATGGTTTTAAAAATATATTTTTTGTGGATATGAAAATAAATTAGTTACTTAGGAGTTTATCATCAATGGAAAAAAATCCAAAAACTTTTTAATTTTATAAACAATATAAAAGTACATTTTTGTCAAATATATTATTACTATCAAACACGTAAGAAAAAAAAAACTCAATGTGTATAAATGTGCTCTAATTTTTTCAACAAATAAAATATCATTTGTGAATAAAATAAAAAACAAATAAAACAAATAGTAATGCGGTCAGAACTTTTTTAGAAAAGTATGAATACCAATATTAAGAAACAAAAATCTTTGAAAATTACTACTTTTTTGTTGCTAGCATTTAAATATATGTTATCTATAAGAAATTGCTTCTCATAAATAGTGATTCGATATTATAATAATATAAACCAGGAACTTTAATAATGACTTCATAATAGTAAAGTTAACAAATGACTAAGAGTATCATAATATAATAGAATTCAAATTCTTCTCATCTAAAATATTTTGACAGATAATATGCGTCTCAATATTGTCTCATTGTTTTGTTTTGTTTTGTTATTATTGAAGAATCAAGAAATGATCATTATCTTGAATTTTCGAAGCATTAGTTATGATACAAAAAGTGGACAATAAATGCATTAAATAAATTATTAGGCACATAAATATTGCAAGTAATCCAAACGAATGTGAAATGTTTTATGATAAACAACTCTAAAATCATTGCAACAACCAAAATGTTCAATGATATGCAAATTGCAAATAATAGGTTATGTAGTTCATCTATCGTCTAAATAAATAACATTGAAAAGGGAATGTTTGATTATGATTAAATTATTTTTGAATGATTGAATAAGTTCACTTTTGATAGAATATTTACAATCTTAATTGTGTATTGGGCTCGATCATATGTGAAATTACTTTAGAATACGTATTTTAATGTGATGTGTGATAATTTTAAAAAATAATTTAGCAACTTCGAAGAAGTACATGATTTTGAAAAATTAACTTTTATTTAGAGATTAAATTCGTTTCCACCCCTTGGAGTAAGTACCAATTTCTCTATCTTAATTGTGTATTGTGCTCGATCATATGTACAATTACTTTAGAATACGCATTTTAATGTGACGTGTGATAATTTTAAAAAATAATTTAGCAACTTCGAAGAAGTACATGATTTTGGAAAATCAATTTTTATTTAGAAATTAAATTCGTTCTTACCCCATGGAGTAAGTACCAATTTATTATATGGAGAAAAGAGAGAGAGAGAGAGAGAGAGAGAGAGAGAGTAATATAGTATTTTATACAATGATTAAAAAAAATATCAAGAATTTTAATGACACAAGTATCAAGAACTCTAATGATACAGTTGGTTATATCACAGAGATATTTATGAACTGATAGTAAATATACTTTATAATGATCATACAATCATGAAGTTTGACTATATGTTTGGCTAAAGTATCTCTAAGTGTTGAATAAAGCACACATTTTACCAAATTAATTAAGAAAAAATTAACAATACTATTGATGTATTGGAATACAACGAGTATAAATGTTTCTTTTGAGAACATCAAATTAGAATGAAAGAAAATCACTCTTGAATCTACATAAATAAATAAAAAAACTCATGCATCTATAATATACATTAGGTCCTTATTTAGTGTTTTTTTATTATGGACTCATTTTCATATATTTTTGTTGGGGTTGTAATATATTATTTAACTTTTTTTATATTGCGACATCATTATATTATTTTTAAAAAAAAATAATTAAGAGTTTATTTAATCTACATTTTATTTTTTCTTACTGCAATCATATGTTAATAAATTAATCAATTTATCTTACTAAAATTAACCGGCAAAAAATATTCGTCACCACGTGCATCGCACGTGTACTTAACTAGTAATATATAAAAGTATGAGTACATAATAGTTGACAAGCCTAACAACAACATTTATGAACTAAAATGAACACTTATTTTTCATATCATATGTAAAAGACAACAACAAACTGATAACTTTAGATTTTTCATTTTTTTTTTCAAGAGTTTAAAATGAAAATAAAAATGCAGTCATGGGTCCATGGGACGTGTTAGGGCCATCTTTTGTTGGTCTGTATGGGCCACCACTTTTATGGATGGCCAGCGCCCCTTGAATTAGGCCCTCTCGTCTTCACAGTCTCAATGGGAGAAATATACTAATACAATGTATGAAGAAACTAGTACGAATCCCGTGCGATGCACGGATAAGAGATATTTATCAATATGAAACTAGTACGAATCCCGTGCGATGCACGGGTAAGAGATATTTATCAATATTATAAATTAAAAATGCTCATTAAATAATATTTATAAATTAAAATATATAAAATAAAGATGTAATACAATTTATCTATATTAATTTATTAAAAATGTTATATGAAATTTAGATTGTGCAAAATTACATAAAACATGTTTATTTAAAATTAGTACACCACCCGTACGTTGCACGTACTAATAACAAATTACATTATATTCATTTCAAAATAAGTACATTTTAATTTATTTATTTTTTTCAGAAAATCGAGTCGTCTACAATGTAATTCCATAAAATAATTATTTTTGTAAAATTTTATCATATATTTAAAAATATATGTAAATAATAAGTATAATTATAAAACTTATATTGTTTCATTTATAAAATAAATTTAGTTTTGTGTAAGATTATCCAACTAAAAAATTTTAAGTATTTGATTAATTTATTAGATTATATATAATTGATTATTTCATTTACGTCCAAGTTAATATTCACCTGTAAGTTATGAATAATTACTTATTTGAGTTTTACATTTGGAACCCAAATTTAGACTACACAGTAATTTACCTATATATATATATATATATATATACATCACATTTTTCTAGATTTGTTGTCGATTACTTTATTGTTCAAATTTACTAACTAATTCTCTAAAATTAAATTACAAATTTTAAATTTTACTAAACAATATTTGTTCAAATATATTTCTGATTTTCAAAAAAAATACATACCAATTTTTTGAATTATTTATATCTTATAGCAATTTATTATGGAAATATATGCTAAAATTTAAAAATCATATCACCTTGATATTGTAACAAATCAACATAAAATTACACTTTCATACTCATACCAAATAAAATTTATACCACTTATTTTGTTTTCAAAATTTCCAACTATACTTCTATCATACCAAATAAAATCCATACCATTTAAATTTGAGTATTTCATACCAAAACAAAATCACCCATTTTGCACCATAAATTCGGACATTTATTAATAACAACACAATTCCTACCAAAAGTAAATATAGTAATCAGATACATCAAATAAAATCGGCTGCTTTATACCAAAACCGGAGTTATTAATTTTTTCAATTTTATATAATAAATTGATTAATTAATTTTTGAAAGGCGGAATTTTTTTGAAATGTACAGTATTTATTTATTTTACATGTATTTTTAAATTCATTTTACCATTACATGTATTATTGATATTAGCATACTTTTTAAAATCATTTTCAAAATTAAGTATTGATTGTAAAATATCTAATTTGTTAATAGGAATTTTGATTTTTTTTCCTTGTTTTTCTTTACATTCTATAAAATAAATTAACATAAATAGAGTAATATATATGTTTTAAGATGGAAAAAAAAAATATTTGTTAATAACATATTCTATAAAATAAATTAATACAAATATGTTATTCACGTAGTTCATAAATTAAGTGAAACATAACAAAAAAAATAATACATGTTTTAAGATGGAAAACGTTTTACATACATGCATATAATTTTTTTTTTATTCAATTGTTAATATTCATTGTACCTCTTAATAATTACTGCAGTATTCCTAATTTGGGTTTTGTGCACTCTACTTTTAAGTTGTAAAAATGACAGTAGCACCAATCTCATCTTGCGTCTGTTAAAAAAAAAACTTACAATCATTAAATAAAATTTGTGAAAAGAACCCACCACAATCAAAATAATAATAATAATAATATCAATAATTTAGATATAAATATATATATTATTTCAATAATCGGTTGAATATATAATAAAATATAAAAATGGTCCTTAAAAATCAGTCAATAAGGAAAAAAAATTCAAGCTTTTTATATAAAAACTCGGGGAATCTGAAAACCCTTGAGGGAACCCTTGGGTACGAAGCTCTTGTTGGACGCCCAATTGTCGAACTCATTTGCCTGTGATTGAGAATCCGTTAAGAAGCCCCTCTTTTTTCCCTCTCCCTCCGCTCGCCAAATCCACATGGTGATAATCTTCGGTCTGGTCAGCGCTAGACGGAGCAAATTCCCGACCGCCCTCGCGATTGGAGCTTTCATGGCGGCGAGACTGCTCGTCCCTGATCCCCACGCTGTAGGATCTGAATCCGTCGTCGAGCTTTTTCCGATCGAGCTCCGTCGTCGAGAGGACCAAGAGCTCATCCGACGTCAGGCCCTGGATCTCCTCCGGCTTAAATTCCTGGAGGGGAAGGGTCTGTGAATATTCTTCTTCGTCGTCTTGGTGGCGGTGGTGGCCTAAGCGATGGAAATTGTGAAATCTTGAAATGAGAATTTTGGATGGATGGTTAAAGAAATTAGAGGGCCAAAGAAAAGAAGAAAACAAAAGATAATAATTGGTGTGGTTGCCGTTAGAATTGAAACATCAATAATGGATTAGAGGGTTAATATAATTTGGAGGCTTGGTTTTTCTTATTTTCAATCTAGATTACATTCCTAAAAGATATTGAAGAGATTATATGGAAGTTTATATAAGATGGAATGTAACCCAAAAATTTGTTTGGCACCAATCTCATCTCAATCTCAAATTTATTTTATTTTCAAAATTTTCAAATATAAATGATTCTGTACATTAATTAGATTAATTTTTTAATTCGAATTTCAAATAATTTTCGCCACTTTTTAAAAGAGTTACTAATAAAAGTAAAATTGAATTATTTAGGCAGAAAAGTAGTTACTTTTTCAGATAAATGTCAAACTTTTTATATTATTATTATAAATATCTGCAAACTCAATTGTCAAAAAGAGAGAAAAGGGTAACTGAAATTCAACCTGATAGATATTATTGTTGTTGTAAGATTTTCAAATCAATGAATGATTAGTCTTTAATATCTTGGCATACATTTCTCATTTTCCATTTGATAATATTTTATCATTTTTTTTTAGTTGGACATCATTCTTTATTAGTTCACATTTAAATGATCTTATTTGTGAAATATTTGATTCGTGCTCTCACTTGGTTTTTTACCATTAGATCATCACACGTCTATTCGGATATGGGTGTGGGAGTGTGTGTGACCAAACAACAAATAAACCGTTCACATATTTTATATATTTTGTTTTATGATACATTTCTTACTATATACTTAGTTTTTTAGGAATTTACATTTTCACTTTTCTTTGTGTGATTATAAACCCGTTCAGTGTTACATTTTCATTTTCACTTATAGTGGACCAGCTTTTACTGAGTTTCATACTTATTTTAAAAATCTTAATGTGTAGATGTGATTAATTATCAAACAAATATAGATTTCAGTATTTTTATAACTTTAAATATATCTTGATCAGTTGAAAATATATATATATATATATATATATATATATATACACACATACAGGGAATGGTTTCAATACATCCACTTATTTAAAGTGAGGACGTGAGACTCATTTTTAACCACAAGATTTGGTACATATCATGTGCGGCCAAGATTTACTCTTTTCTTTTTATTATTTTAATTATTCAAATATTATTTTGACCCGTTGACTCCGGCGTTGACCGTTGACTTTCGGCATTGACTTCCGGCAAAATCCGTTGACAACTAACCTTCCAACTAGGTTAGTTCTCTGTAGTTGCTAGGTTAGTTCTCTGTAATTGCTAGGTTAGTTCTCTGTAATTGCTAGGTTAGTTCTCTCTAGTTGCTAGGTTAATTCTCTGTAGTTGCTAGATTAATTCTTTGTAGTTGCTAGATTATTTTTCTGATGTTGCTAGATTAGTTGTCTTTTGTTGATAGATTATTTCTTTCTTGCTGCTAAGTTAGCTGTCTTTTGTTGCTAGGTTAGTTATCTTTAGCTGCTAGGTTAGTTGTATTTTGTTGCTAGGTTAGTTGTCTGTTGTTGCTAGGTTTTTTTTTTTTTCTAACAAACAACGCCCCGGAAGGACGGGGGATTGGGCCGGATCCCCAACCTGTACATAGATCAAGACTCGAAAACTGGGGCCCAAAATGTCAACAAACTACAATGCGCAAAGTCTCTGAAGCAAAACAAAACAAAATCAAAAAGAGAAAAGCAAAAAAGGAAAAAATAATACAAAGTCTGTCAACGGGCTAATAGGTGCCCGGAAGCGAGATCTAATCTAATGAGAGCAAAAACCTAATCTACTAAAGTCGGAACGATGGATATCCAAGCTGGTCCATCCGAACCAGCGTGCGTAGGCGGAGTGGAGCAGTGTCGGTCTGAAATGTATGTGTATCTGGTATGGTGGCGCCAAGGCTGGCAAGATAGTCGGCAGGTCTGTTCCCCTCACGGAAAATGTGCGTGATCCTATGATGGACAGACCAGAGTAGGGCTCTAATACGCATAAGCGGGTGCTGAATCTGCCACGAGCCCTGGTGGCCCGAGGTCAAAAGGGTGGCGACAGCCGCAGTGTCTAGCTCGATACAAATGTGGCTAGAGAGGTGGGCAGCAATCTGAAGGCCGATCTGTAATACCTGAATCTCTGCATCGTAGCTCGAGGAGGCCTGAAGGGACGCGTGGAAGGCGGTGATGAGGGCGCCGCTGTGGTCCCGGATCAAGCTTCCTCCTCCGGCAACTCCAGTGTGACGATCAAAGGAACCATCAGTGTTCAGCTTGACCCACGGAGAGTCAGGTCGAAGCCAAACAACAGCTCTGGGCCGGTCTGTTGTTGCTAGGTTAGTTATTTGTAGCTGCTAGGTTAGTTGAGTTTTGTTGCTAGGTTAGTTGTCTTAAGTTGCTAGGTTATTTCTTTCTTGCTGCTAGGTTGGTTGTCTTTTATTGCTAGGTTAGTTATCTGTAGATGATAGGTTAGTTGTGTTTTGTTGCTAGGTTAGTTGTTTGATGCTGCTAGGTTAGTTGTCTTTTGTTGCTAGGTTAGTTGTCTGTTGTTGCTAGGTTAGTTGTGTTTTGTTGCTAGGTTAGTTGTCTGTTGTTGCTAGGTTAGTTATTTGTAGCTGCTAGGTTAGTTGAGTTTTGTTGCTAGGTTAGTTGTCTTAAGTTGCTAGGTTATTTTTTTCTTGCTGCTAGGTTAGTTGTCTTTTATTACTAGGTTAGTTATCTGTAGATGATAGGTTAGTTGTGTTTTGTTGCTAGGTTAGTTGTTTGATGCTGCTAGGTTAGTTGTATTTTGTTGCTAGGTTATTTCTTTCTTGCTGCTAGGTTAATTGTCTGATGCTGCAAGGTTAATTGTATTTTATTGTTAGGTTATTTCTTTCTTGCTCCTAAGTTAGTTCTCTTTTGTTGCTAGGTTATTTATTTCTTGCTGCTAGGCTAGTTGTCAACCGGTCAACGTCGGAAGTCAACGGTCAACGCCGAAAGTCAACGATTTTCACCAGAAGTCAACGATTTTCGCCGGAAGTCAACGGTCAACGCCAGAGTCAACTAATAATTATTTTATTATTTAATTAATATATATTTTAATTGATTTTGATCTAGACAAAATGAGTAGCTAAGATTGAGTCTCACGTACTCATTTTAAGGAGTGGTCTCATTGAACCCGTCCCCTACATACATATATAATATAATTTTTTTTTTTCATCCATGAACATTAGCCAGACAAGTTCATTCACATTTTTTTTTACCCAGTTTTTGAATGTGTTGTGAATATGTATTTAGGCATATTTAGTACCTTTCAATAATAGAATTACCGTACAAGAATTTGAGCATAGTAAGGCAACTGTTTCATATTTCTAAACAATCCCATGGAATATGTCAGTAAATCTAAATCCACATCAAGAAACAGACAAACACATACTACACTATACAACAAACGAAAGAGCGCCTTTCTAAATTGGTTTATGACAATCGTAACATGATTCTCTTCAAGGCCTCAGTAGGATGATAACACGGTTATGTCCGACCCGAGTCTCAGTTATTCGACCCAAATGCCGAAGAACCTATCAGAAAGTTGAAAACAAATTAACTCACATATAGATTCAGAAGTAAAAATTTCATTTTACTTATGTTCACTTATGTATCTCTTTACGAATCGAACAAATTCGCTCAAGATTATTTAACACATAGGAAAAACTAACCGTCAATAGTGCTCTTCCCGTGTTATCAAGTTTCAAGGAAGGCCCCTTAATGTCTGACTCTAGGAAAAAGTACTTTCCTTTCACTGCATCTGCCATTGCAATTTCTCTTAATTCCTACACGAGTCACACGAGCATCAAATTTTACCATTTTCTCGGATGGTAAAAAAAAAATAGAAATTCGTATGAACTACCAGAAAAGGATGATAGAAACAGAAACTGTAATATAATAATGAATGTGAAACTGTGAAAGAGGATATGGTATCATTACCAGAGCCTTGTCCAAGTTATTATCTGCTAGCTTCACATTTGAAAGAATATAAAATAAATGGATCAGCATAAATGGTTTAAAAAAAATAAAAAAATCGAGAAAAAAAATAAAAATGATAAACAAAAAGAACAACTTTTTTCCGTGGTGCAGCAATAAGTTGCGCATTTGCTTCGGCATATGCTGCCATGTCTCCAATTGCACCATTCACCTTATCCATAGTCAGTCTCTGTTTCATGTACCTAAAGAGTTTTTTGCTACTCTTAGATCTTCGAGAGAAACTTAAAAGCATTTTTACCCGTAAAAAGGCAATTCACTTACGGTGGCACGGAATTTAGCTCCTCTCCAGTGATGTACCACATTGGTGGGGGCACTCGACCTTTCTTTTCCTATTAAAGGAAAGCGAAATTTGAAATTTTGAATTGAAAGTTCATTATTGTTGCACAACATCATTAACTTTTTAATTTGTTGTAGCAATCGAACACATGGGACACCGAAAAGAAAAGGGCAAACTATGTTGTTTTTAAATGGTTCAAATTCGTAATACAGAACATAGGCAACTAAACAAAATAGTTTAACTATAAGAAAAAAAACATACGTCTATGTCACATTTTGAAAATCACTCGATCTGTTTTCAGGTATCACCTCAAAGTAGTTAATGGAGGGTTTGTGGCAAATTACTAATGTTCTATACAAAAAATCTCTAAGATTTCAACAGAATCCATACTTTAGGTGCAGGCTCCTCATGCTTCAAAGGCTGAAATCCAGGATCTTGCTTATACTCTTCTCTTTGCACACTGAAGAAAAATATAGAAAAAATAAAAAGATTCATTAATATTCTTATTATTTATCAACAGAAAATATTTTCAGCATCTAAACACTGCATTACCATTTATCAGTGTCCCGATTCAAGTTAGTACATCTATCGGGCACGCTTGATGGAACAAAAGCTGAAATACTCTCCAATTTCTTCCGTTGTACCACGGCCGCCTCAATTAACTTCTGCAGCACAAAAAGTCCTCAACTTAGTTCGTGAATGACTGTTATTTTCCTTCTCCTTTTCAACTTGCAGAAATAATATAAGGGATATCCTCCAAGGAGGGCAACTCAAAACACTACATTAGACAAAATGAAAAATTTAAAAATTAATCTCTCCGTGATTAACGGGAATTCAGGTGAAACAAGATCCCAGATTATGTCTTTACCAGTTTATAGGATTATTCGACTCCATTTCAACTACACAACAGGTTAAATGGTTTTTTGAATAATTTGCTACATGAAATTTAAGATTCATATTAAACCCATATAATCATGAGAAGAGACTAGAATGTGCTTTGTTTAACATTTAAGTGCTTCAAAGTTCATAATTCATAAACTGCTCAACACACAACAAAAACCCACAACAATACCCAATTTTGAAAAAAAAAAAATCAGGAAATCATCAATAACATTGAGACCACCTTTGCTTTAGGGACAGCTCGAGCTTCATCACGTAACCGATTCTTGATATTCTGAACCTGAAGCTCCATGCCCTTCAACGCGGCGTCTATGGCGGACAAATCGCTAATGCTGCTTGCAGGATACACTGCTCAGTTTCAGAAAAAATAAAAATAAAAAAAAATAAAAATAAAAACAGAGAGAGAGAGAGAGAGAGAGAAAAATGGATCATTAAAAAAGAAAATCAAGCCGAGCCAATTCTTCAGCATACGACAAATGAACAACAAAATTGACAAATTTAGAAAAAAGCTGAAAAATGATCCCAACTGTTGCGAGCGATAACGAGCTGCTGAAGCTCAGCTACTCGCGTATTGAATGAGGAAATCAGGCCATCAAGTGAAGCTCCAGCTTCTTTCAAATCCATTGGTCCCTGTGAGAGAAAGGACTAGCTAGCAAAAGACTTGAACGCCGCAAAGCGATTTCTTGCTTGGGAACAGATTCAAATATTTGGGAGCGGAATAGATTCGATTAATTTGAAATTTAGGTCAATTTTCTGAATAAACAAAATTTAATTGGGCTTCACATGGAAACCACAAATTTAATTGGGCTCAATTTTTTCCCCTACAATTTTAAATTACCATATTTGGGCTGGAATAAGACAAAAACTAACTAAAACATGGAATAAAATTTAGCCCAAAAATAAAATTCTCATATCCGTCTATTTATGGCGATAATGGGCCGGATCACGGGCTTTGATCCGTTTTGATAGTCCATTGTGTTTGATTCGTGTGTCCGAAGGATTTTGCTTGATATAATGCTATAGTCAGGTACATGTACCTAACAGCTATCAACTGAAAAGAAATGATCCAAAAAAAAAATGTACTGTACATGAGTAAAATAGAAAAATTCCATCTTTCCCTTGTTTCTCAAGAACAACTATATAGAACTACCTCATTCAATATATTATATATGTGACCATATTGACTTCAATTAGAGGTGTAAAGGAGTCGGAGCTCGGGCTCGAGCTTCTATCAACCCATGTTCAACTCGTTTATCAATATTAACTAGATGCAGAATTCAAGTCTTACGTAGCCAAACTAAAGTTAAAATCAAAATATTACCTAAAAACCCTATTTAACGAGTTAACTAGCCGAGTTAACTAAACGTTTAAATCGAAATTGAGCCTTAACGAGTTGAGCCTACATGAGCCCATGACCGACTCCATTGATAAACATCTCTAGCTTCAGTTCACTCTCTTCTTATGTTTCAAGTAATTAGAACATCTTCCTATAGTAAAAACACATATGATAACAAAATTACTTAAGACATATATCTTACAATTAGTATAGGCATGCATGGCTTCTTCTACATTTGTTAAGAGCTCCATGAAAAAATAACACAAAAAATTGGCCGGAAATCGCAAACAAGATACAAAAAGATCGTCGGAATTAGTTTGAATCAAAACATCGCATTCTCCAATTTACATATACATATAACCGCATCACATCCCTTTTTTCCTCATCGTGTGAAAATCAACTAGGCTTTTGCTAGAGACGGACCTTACACATTCTTTAATCCTCGATCGCCACAAAACCCTTTTACTAAAACTTCAAAAGATTGCAAGAAAAACATGCAATCGATCGATACCTTCAAATCAAATCAAATCAAGGGATTTAATTTCATCTTTCGAATATCAATTATGGATCCCGGGATGTGTTTTCGGGGGCAAATAGTCCAAGTTAAACCCGGGCTCTTTTTCGCCTCTCTTCTCGTGAGGCACCCTCCAAGTGACTTGAGCTCGGGGCTTCTTTCTTGAGCTACCCGAAAATTTCATACCGTCGACTTTTGCCTCAATATGCTTTCCCGGCTCAATTGATGATGATTTAGTCCTATCAATCGTCGTTTTCATTTTGTCTTTTGCATCCCGAGTGGCGTTTGGTATCAAGGATTTTGCTTCGGATTGTGTGGAAACCCTACTTGAAATATTGGTCGTCCGGTCATATTTCTGCATACATAGAACCTACCTTGAATCGAGATTCAACACGCGTCGACTAGCATATATACATATATAAACACTAAAAAGAACAAAAGAAAAATAATCAAATTTACACATAATTTAGATTTCGAACAGAAACCCTAACTAGCATTTGAAACTAGCTATGAACGAAGACCAAAATTTTATAAATTAACCCCTCTTCAATATTATTCGTAATTAATCAAGAATGTATATCGATCGACAAAAAACAAGTATTGAAAGATTGAGCTAACCTTGCTCGTTGAGAGTCGAGACATTTGCTCCGCGTCCTTGTGGAGTCTCTGGAAATTCCGAGCACGACATGTGTGGAAAGAAGAACAAAGAAGTACTACGAGAAAACATGAGAAGATTTTCGACATTTGAAGCAACTAAAGAACTCTAAATTTAGATCAATAAACACACTACAAGAGGAATTATAACATAAAACCTATATATATGTATTTCCTATTTTAGATGAACTGAATAATGATATATATGTAGCAACAATGCTTGGCAGTGATTGTACAAAGAGAAGAAAAAAGAAAGAAGAGAAAAGAGAGGCATTAAATTCAGATTCTGAAGGAGTTAGCTAGTTTTCTTCATAAGAACATGCAATTGTATGGGTGATGAGAAGAAAGAAGGGAAACTATAGATATGGGTGGCCTCTTTTATGTCCCTCACATAACCCCGCATATAAAAAATAAAGAGAGCATTTAAAAAATATATTTATGTAAACAATTCTTTTATTTTGCTTTTCTCGACAATTAATCTTTAAGGGAAAAGTGCAAATTATACTCAGTAACTTGGGGCAATTGCCATTTACCTAGTAATTTTTTTAATTGTAACTGCTCACTAACTAATGGTTGTTACGACTTCTTTTTGAATCTGCCGAAAGACTAATCAAAGCGAACATTTTGTCCAAATATGTGAGTAATGAGTTAGTAGATGTTTCTTAATCTTAAATTCTTAATATTAATGTATTATTTAACAAAATAGACTTTATTAGAAGTTAAAAAAAGAAACACTAAAGCAAGTACATGTCCCTATTTGTTTCAACCGAGAAACCCTAATTTTGTTTTCTTTTTATGTGAGGTTTTGTGCAAAATGGCATGTGGTTCCCTGGTTTCTAGTTCTAGCTTTTCCCGCACACCCTCTTTCTACGTTGAAAATCTACCATGGCTTGTATTTTAACAATTCTTTTAATTATAAGGCATAAAGTTAGAGGCTTTTTTTGAGATGTATGTTCAAACCGAGGATTTAATTGATAATCAAAATCAAAAGTCAAAGAATTTTTGTCTCCTTTAGTTTTATGGAACTTCTATTAAATCAAAATCCAAATTATCTCTCCTTATCAAATTAAACATTGAAGTAACTTTCATACTTATATTAAAAAAAAAACGAAGATTTAAAAATTTAAATAGATTTTATTATTTTGTTGTTCCCATAAAAAAGAAATCGGTAAATCTTATGTTAGGTCGCCTAATAATTAAATAATCATACTTTATTAAATAATCATACTTTTTCAACCGATGTACACATACTTTTACACTCAAACTATCATATTTTAAATATTGTATAACCAAAGGAGTGACAAGTCAAGAAATATGCATTTTTGGTAAGAACCTAATAGTAATATATGTGAAATGAAATATAAATAGTAGCCCATAGAAAGATTGAATAATTTTTAATCCTCTACATGATAAGTTTAGTTGCAAAATTTAATGGCAAGAGGATCAAAAGAACAAGTAAGCACTAGTCTCACCGTGTTTGTAGCTCTTGCAAGGGACATAAGGTAAGTGTCCAGCCGCCAATAACGGTCACACTTGCCACGTGGATGTAGACCCTAGCTACCAAAATAATAATTAGTGAACAATTATATTGGAGATTAATTTTAACTCCACACCATGAAGAAAATCTCAATCAAATTAAATCAGTTTGATTGTTCTAAAATTAAAATGTTGAAGAAAAGGTGGAAAATTACATGACCAAACGATTCCTAGTTTACAATGGATGCAAAAATCTACCATTTAATTTTTTTCTCCAAAATATGTATAAACAAATATAAATATATATAGGATATTTATATATGGGTGTATGTTTTAAAAATTGTAAGTAGATTTGTGTTTAAATATTGGGAATGGCTTTGGGATTTGTGAGGTGATGTGTCTCTAAACTCGTTGTGTCATGTTAAAGCCCCACATTTTTGGAACATGCACTACATCCTTGTCCCCATTTTCCTTTTTATTTTAATTTTGAGTAACAGTGCAAACGAGTCAAGCGGGCCGTTCACGAGCGTTCGAGTGTATGTTCGACTCGAGCTCGAACAGTTTAACCGAGCAAATGAGTCGAGTCTTTAGCATCATTTCAAGAGACTCGTAAGCTCGACGAGTCGCTTATTGACTTTTTGTTTACATAAATAACTCATATAGTTTAAATATCAATATTAGAAAACCAAGGTCAAAATTGTCAGTTTTGATTAAAGGTTGATTTTGAAATTTCGAGCCGATCTCTCGAGCCATGTCACGAGCCTCAAGTTAATACAATATTTTAAAAAACGGCCGGCACACATGTAAATGTCCCAATTGTAAACCCTTTCACTTGAACCAACTAGTTGCTTTTATTTGGGTTATTGGCCGTTTGGATGGATAACACAACATTTGTGGCCCAATAAAAGATCTCAAGAAAATGTAAAATATTTTGGGCTCACATAAGAGGTGTTGGGCTAAACATATGAGGCCATGGGTTCTGCTGATCCAAATAGTTGTAGTTTTGGCAAACAAAAGAGATATTGGGCTAAATGAGAAACTATTAGCCCAACCAACTATGATTACGACAAACAATGAAAACATGTTGAATAACATGTTTCATGTTGAGTTGAGACATAGGATTATATTATCTTACACATTTTCTTCGCAATTATTTGTTAAATTTGAGTTTTTAAGATTTTAACTTACAGGAAGAGTAACAAAAAACATGTTTAATTTTCCTAAAACCATATACCAACACAAAATTGTTGGAAAATCAAATTACACCAGATTTGTAAGAGTACTGTATAACTAATTATCAATTATACAAATAAATTGTTCAAACAAAGTATATATATAGGGATAGAACATACATTAATTTATCTATTTTTTTTTTTATCAAAAGGAATTAAAATAAATTTAATAACCGTCTACAGATCCCGAAACACATACATTTGCATGGGAAAACGAGAAATGTCAAATTAACCATTAGAGCAAATCTATGTAAAGATTTGTAAGATCATAGTACAAAATTAATTTTTTCCCAAACATAACTATAAATAATTTGCCATTTTGTTTCTCAATATTTAATATCAATTACATATCATATGATGTTGATGGATGCGGCGCTCATCAATTTGTACAAAAATTTTTATAATCTTTCATCTTTTTCAACCATTGATTGATCCACTAGGCTAGCTTAATTCAAAATTTAATTATTTTAATGTATGTATCTTACAAATTATAGATATATATGACCATTATAAGGGTGTATTGTTCATATACATGTGCATTTCATATATATTTTAATCAAAGTGTAACATCACCTTATATTTGTTTTATTCCAAAAGTTGTAAGCTAGAAGTGGTGGTAGGATTGTAATAAGGCACCCAATATTTTTTTTAGCACCCCCTAATCATAAGGAATGGACTAAGAAAAAACAAAACTAAATGTTAAAAGAAATAATTAATTTGTTAATAAAGATGATTTATTTCCTATTTGTGTTTTGTTGAGTTGTCTACCTCTAGTTGATAAAGTATTATTAGATTGACACGTATTTGCTAGAAGTCTATATATGTTCCTTGATAGGCCCATTTTTATAGCAATATTAATTAGAAATGGATAACTGCAAATTATGCCTCAAGTGTTAGTTTAATTACAATATCAAAGAAATCCAAATCATGCCTTGGAAGTAGAAAAATTAATTCTTTGTGTCCTGGATCAACAAATACCAGAGATTTAGTTGAATAAATGAAAATAAAATGTGAAAAATATAAAGGACAAGTTATCACATGGAGGAAGGAATTAAAATAGAAAGGTTTTTGTTGCAAGAAAATACAAAATCATATCATATGCATATAGGTTTGCTAAAATTAATATTTTGAAACCTAAGCCTGTCCTGTTCACACAAAACACCCATAATTTTCAATATTATATTTGGACACAAACAAATCGCTTTTATTATATATATGCTTTGTGCTTATACTGAACCACAGGTTGTTATATTTCATTACTACCCTGCAATTTGATGTTTCTTTAATGGGAAATGTCATTTTCAATATGCAAGTGATCTTTGATCTTTAAATTTATACTACTAAGAATATTTATATTACAAAGCAATAGTGTTTGGCTTATCAATAATTAGTAATTGTCTCACAAAATCTTAGTGCATATATATATATGATGATGAAAGAAAAAAATGAATCACGAGTCCATCGATACACCCAAATATTTTTAGGAAATTGTTATTAATACATAGATCAGGAAAAAAAATATATATATTTGATTTGATACTCTTGATACACGTAACAGTCAAATGAAAATAATTTATGTTTATAGTGAAATGTCATATTCTTCATCCAAATCAAAATTAAAATACATATAACATATCAAACCAAAATACTTTATGCCTATGCTTATTGTGAAATGTCATTCTTTCATATTCCAACCAAATTGAGTAGTTGTAGCCTTACATTTATGTTTACTATTTCACTTACTTTTCTTATATATCTTGCTTGCTTATTTATTTGCGAAACTTGAAAATTGAGTTAATATTTAGGTTAATAATATTCCTTTTAATTTCTTCATTCATTCTTATGCACAATTCTAAAATTAATGCTATGTGGAGAGAGCATCTTCAAAAGTAATGTAAACTGAAGTTACTATTTAACTTATCTTAAAAGAATATGACATATTGACATTTGATTGTAACAACATAAATTAATGTTCCAAAAATTTAATATGGGATCAAAA